AGTGTATATATATATATATAAATTTAAATATTTACCAAAGAAAATGTGTTTTGCACTTTTATTAAAAGTGAATTTAAAAACGATGGCTACGATAACAGATTTAGCTGCAGCTAATGAACCAAATGTTTATCTGTTAGTCTAAATGTTTCTTCAGCTCTGACAGCAGCGATGAAGAGGAAGAGGAAGAGCTGCACACCTGAAACAGGGCAGAGAGATGATGGTCTCGTAAAACCTCCAGGTGGCGATGAGGTCGTCCCTGATGGGATTGGTGGAGTAATATCTCCAGGCAGACTGGAAACCAGCAGGTTTGAGTTTAGTTGAGTCTGAATTAAAGGCGTTTGGTTTGCAGGTGCGAGAGCTCACCTGGATCAGCCCGGCCGCCGGGTGGCGCCGCTTCTCAAAGTGCTTCTGTCTGTGCTGCTCCTGGACCTTCAGAGCCAAACCCGAGCCCAGGATCCCCTGCAGCCAGAGAAAACGAGCAGTTTAACGTGACTTCACAGGGTCAAACAACAGTTTAAAGATGGAACTCACTGCAGGCAGAGCAAAGAAAGAAACTCCGATCAGAACAAAGGTGCCGGCCAGCAGCCTCCCGGCCCAGGTTTTAGGGGTTTTGTCTCCGTATCCGATGGTGGTCAGAGTGATCTGTGGATAGAAACATCTTCAGAAACACTAAAAAAACTAATTTACCTGTTTCTCTACTCGCTCTGCKCCGTACGCACCAGCCCCCACCACAGAGCGTCGGCGTACGTGTCGAAGTCCTGAGTCTGGGTCTGAACCGTGGGGTTCTCCTGGTCCGACACGTTCATGGAGCCGTCGTCCTTCTCCACCAGGTAGACCAAGAAGGACGCCAGGATCAGAGACAGGAAGCCGATGTACCAGGCTGTGATCAGCTCCTGTGGACACGCAGAAACCACATATACATACATATATTTACAATATATAATAATGTCACCTCCACATACCGTAAAGGTTCCTGAAAAGGCCCACGGACCACCAGTTGATAATCACAGTTGTAGC